CACACACACACACACACACACACATACTCACACATACACACATACACAAATAAACAAACACACACACACATACACACACATACTTACACATACACACATACACACATACACACATACACAAATAAACAAACAAACACACACACAAACACACACACACAAACAAACACAAAACATACACATGAGGGTGCATACACACATCCGACTTCTCTGAGGCACATTTTTGGCTGCTGCTTGATTTTTTCCCCCTCCCTTCTCTTTCTTTTCTAATTCAGGATCGTTGTGGTATTTATCGCTCGGCATGGGAAAGCAAACAAGGCTCTGTGCTCAATACAACCGGGGTCTCCTCACATATGAAAATAATTTGACAATAAATAGAGGGTTTTTCATGATCAATGGGGCTGGCTTCCTAGCGCTGCGAGTGGGACAAAGAGGTGTAGAAATCATTTCAACTGTGTCAATACCAGTTTCGCCTCGTTGAATTATGCACAGGTGTGAAAAGGCCTGGCTTGAGAGGAGCGGCCCAGGTATAATGGCAGTGCTTCTGAGACACGCTTGGCTGAGAAGGGAACCTCACTTCTCGCATGAGTGAGGGCTGGCTGGCGACCTGGTGGAGTTCTTCTACTAGGTGTATGTTTCTGGTGATAGGGTGACAGGTTTTGATCTGACTGATATCAGTAGGGGGAATAGGGGGAAAACGGTTGACACCACTGTGACATTCTGACAAGTCGAAACGGAGATTTATTTTCTCACGTCTTAGCCACCTGGCTGTTGAATAACCAAGAAAGAGAATTTAAATTAATAAAGAATATTAAAAGTCCGCTTCTCAAGCGAAATCAGGATTTACTCTAAGTGTCGCAAACAAAAAAACAACAATTCCCAAACTACTATCACAAATCTCACCTGGTTTTTCTGAAAGTAAGCCAAGAGGAGATTCACTCTAGTGAGAAAAAAGGTCTATACAAATTATACAATTTCTACTAATAAAATTAATAATAACTAATAACTAATTACAACAACAACAACAACAACAACAACAACAACAACAACAACAACAACAATG